TGATGCTCCCAAGCTACATTTTCATGCATCGTTCCTTCCTTCTGCTCAAGCATTACTACATGGGGATTAAGCACAGGCCTTAAATGATTTCTCCAAGGCCACAGAGGTACTGGGTGAGGCGTCTGGTCACTGAGTCGCACCTGATGCGCCATTCATTGGCTAACATCTCAGAGCACGTGGTCAGTCACAGCTCTGAACACTTCTGCACTGGTCATCCCGTTTCACCCTCATGACACCTTCCCAGGGACAAAACCCTATAACTCAACTCCCAGATTTATCTGCTGAGACCCTGAGAGCTTTAGACCCTATTCAAAGTCACAGAGATGAATCAAGATAGGTCCAGGATTCCAAGCGAGGCATCTTGATTCAGGCATTACCGTGTGCATGGGAATAAAAACACACACAAGGATCCTTTTCATTACCAAATGCCCCAAAGTCAGCTGAATGTTCATGTCTGACTCCTTGGCCCATGCAAACTGTATGATGAGCAAAATCCATCCTCACTCAGAAAGGAGGAATGGCAGTGGGGGCCACTGCTTCAACAGCAAGTGGCCCTTAGGAAGTCAGCTATTTTTGCTTTTTAGATATGTTTCCTTTCCTCGCCAAAAGGATGGCTGCTATTCTTCTTTTCATTTTAAATACAAGTATTTCAGAATGGAAGCATGCAAGCCGCTGGCTCAGCCAAGGCTAAGGGCCTTTAGTGGGGAGAATTATTCTCCATAGGACCTTGCCCTCAAATGTTCTCATCCCCTGCCTTCAGGTGGCCACTGGCCACAGACTGGAAGCTGACAGGTTTCTTTTGGGTACCTCCGAGTAACCCTGCCTCTCACTGCCGTACATGTATTGGGGGAGCGTCTCTACCTGCTTGCCTGTTATCTACATCCCTTTGGCACTGATTATAACCTTGTGATACCAGGAGCCAACAAAGCCCTAATCCCCAGCCCCCTCCCCGCAACACAGCTATAGCAATCCACCTCAGACTCAGATCCAAGCCTAACTCTCCCCTTAGGATGACCCTCCTCTCCTCAACCCTGCTATGCTGGCTCTCTCCGCTATAAAAGAAGTTGAAATAAAACCAATGTGAATAGCTGCAGTTAAGATCAAATGAGACAGCATATGTGAGGGGACCAAGCAAATGGCTTATCACCCACTCAATATTAAAATGGAGGGGAAGGGGCACTTAAAAAGTGAAATCCTCTGCCAAAAAAAGTGGATAAATTTCGTCAAGGTGCCGTAAAACAGGGCCGGGTTACAGAAAGTACTAATGCATCATTGCCCACTGCAGAGGAGCCGCACAAGCTCCCAGTCACCTCTCAGAGGAGCATGGGCTGCAGGGGAAGGGGTTATGGAGGGGTCACAATCACACATTTGACTAATGCACCCGGGACCAGAATTCACACTCCACGCTTTGCCTCCACTAGGCCCCAGTTGGTACAGCCAACGAAGGACAAAGCACTATCCCAGTGGCCACCTCTCCAAGCCAAGAGAACATTGCTTCAGCAATCCCCCTGCCCTGGTAGCTCATAGATCAACACTTCTCCACCTCTTCATCCTGACTCTGAGTAGAAGACAGAGGGAAAGAACAAAGCAAGCATTTTCCGGCCCCGTTTTTCTATGAGTACAAACTTCAAGGTACAGCACTGACTGCCATGGTCTTTCCCATCACCCCCACCACCACCACCACCACGCTGCACCAGTCAGGTATGTTCAGGGTGCCTCACAGTTATGTCCCAAGACCAACCAAATCTGGGTACCTCCTGATAGCACAGCCAGAGGCTTGTCTCATAGGTGAATCTAGACCCTGTCAAATTGGCAGTTGCTGTTGTCTACGAAAGGAGACAAGATGACGTGGGTGTTAATAAGTCACCCTTCATGCGACTATCCACCTGGAGTCAGGATAGCCCAAAATAGAGAGTCCAAGCAGTGATCTCCATTCTGGTCCCATAAAGGCACCAGTCACACAGAGCCAGCAAAGAGAAGCCAAAAAAAATTTTCACCAATAAGACGACAGAAAGCGTAAGAGAATGGGGCACTCTACTGTGGGACTCCCAAAGCAGAGTGGGAAATCAACTATGAAAAAGCACAGTGAGTGTTCCAGGAGACAGCTCAGGAAATTACAGAGTCACTGCAAAGGCCACTGTGTCACACGAATCAATCTTATGGGACCAGAAAAGTTAAGATCTGAGCCTAATGCAATCAAAGTGATGGTTCCTTTTATATTTTAATGGCATTTCATGTGAATGAACTTAAAGGTGCCTTTTTAAATATTATTTTGTTCATGACCACCTAATTTGTTGATCTTTGGCTTGAAGGTACATGACATTCTGGTGATGGAGTAAGTGCCTGCTGAAGCCAATATGCACTCACAGTGCACAGAAATCTTCAAGTTGAGACTCAGGAAATGATGGACCATGCCGATGAAAGCAGTCAAACACTAGCAACTTCTAGTGCTAGCCGTTCAGTGCACACAGAACCCGTGCTAGGTGTAAGCCTTGAAAGAGACAGAGAATACCCTCATGCTGCCAGAGCTCACGTCTGAAAAGGGGGACTAAATGAAGCACAAGCAAAGGGAAGTGTGGTAAGAGCCATGGAGGTGCATTATATTTTTTCCCTATTGCTGAGCTGGGCTAGGATGTCCTAGCAGAAGCAACTGAAGATGAGGTTTAGTTTGGCTCACGGCTCCAGAATGAAGTCTGCTGTGGTAGACAGCAGCAGCTCAAGGCAGCTGGTTACGTTCCATCCACATTTGGGAAGCAGAGAGTGGCGATGCTCGTTCTGGGCTCACTTTCTTATTATTCAGTCCGTGACCTCAGCTCATGTAACAATGCTGTCCATAGCTAAGATATTCTTCCCAGGTTGATTTAATATAAGTAATCCAATATATAAGGTACATCCCAAGGCCAGTCAAATCTGGGTAACTCCTGGTAGGCACAGCCAGAGGCTTGTCTCATAGGTGAATCTAGACCCTGTCAAATTGGCAGTCGTTCTTGCCCATCACAGTAGGTGAGGAGACAAGGTGACATGAGTGTTAATACACGTGACGATCTACAGAGTCAGGATAGCTCAGAATACAGAGTCCTGGCAGTGCTCTCCATTCTGGTCCCATTGAAGCCACGAGTCACACAGAGCCAGCAACGAGAAGTCAAAGTTTGTACACCAATCCACGCTCAAGTAAAAACAGAGCAGCAGTGGCAGCAACAACCGCAAACAGCCAGAGCCTTCTGAGGATCAGGCGCTATTTTTTCTCCCTTCAAACACAGCAGGTATTATTCTACAGCTGGCACAATCCAAACAGGTTCATTATTTCATTCACTAAATATTGCTATATTGAAATTTTAATCAGTGAACATAGCAGTGATAAAATGAATACATTCATACACTATTGCTGCCTGTGTAAACCCCCAAACCATTCTTTGCAAAAGCAATATTACAATAGGGAGAAGAAAATTCATAAAGATATTCATATGCTTTGGTCTACCAATTCAACTTCCAGAGATTTATCTAAGGAAAGAATCTGGTTCTGTACAATAATAAAAAAAACTAAAATTATTATTATTAGTTGTTGTTTTGGAAGAACTGTACTGAGATGTTAATTTTTGCACACTCAAAGGAAGAAATGATATAAATAGAAACACCTGGAAATACTAAATGACTGTGAATATGGAGATTTTTAAAGAGGGAAATGCACTGGACTGAACGGGCATTGATTTCTTTTCTGCTGATGTGTAACACTGTGACCAGAGGCAGAGTATATTTTGGCTGTGGTTATAGCAGGGGAGTCCATATGGAGGGAGAGGCAACAGCAGGCGGCCAGAACAGGAAGACGAGAGATGACATCTTCAGTCACAAACACAAAGCAGAGAGCACAGCAGAAGCCGGGTGAGGCCCAGGCTCTGACCTCTCAAAGCTGTCCCCAGTGAGGTGTGTCCTCCAGCAAGGCTCTGCCTCCTAAAGGTTCCCTGGCCTTCTCAAACAGTGCCGGGACCCTGAAGCCAAGTGTTCAGATGTGGGAGCCTGTGAGGACTGGGCTCATTCAAAGCAGCACAAAGGGCATGGGCCTGATAGGTAGGACAACTCAAAGAAAGAGTAGGCGTAGGGTTTGCCAAAGTCCTCCAAAGAGGCAGGAAAGGGAATGAGGGATTTGCATGAGAATGGCCCCCAGAGGTGCACACATTTGAATACTTGGTCCCCAGTCGATAGAACTTTTTGGGAAGGCTTAATAGGTAAGGCCTTGTTGAAAGGGGTTTGTCAGTGGGGGTGGACTGTGAGGTTTTAAAAGCCAGGGCGATTCCCAGTTAGTCCTCGCTTTGTCTCGTGCTTGTACATCAAGATGTGGGTGCTTGGCTTCTGCTCCTGATGGTGATCTATGCCTATTTGTCTGCTCCTGAAGGTGATCTATGCCTATTTGTCTGCTTCTGTGTTTCCCACCATGATAATCACAGACTCAAGCCCTCTGGAACCATGAGCCTCACATTAGATGTTTTATTTTACAAGCTGCCTCAGTCATGGTGTCCTAGCAACAGGACAGTAATCAAGGCAGGGCCCATCTGCATATTGTAAGGGAAATCATGGACATACCTCAAGGTGAACAAACACAAGAAAACAGATGAGCGTTGACTCAAGACCATGTGGGAGGTAGGCTCCCTCTTTCAACAGTCTTCCTGAAATACTGTCATTATAGGAAACTTGCAGCTATAAAACCCTCACAAACAATTCTAAGAGAACATTTCAGGAGGACATCCCTAAACCACAAAGGACATGTGACCATCTTGGTTTGAATTACAAATTCAAGTCAAGCTTGCAGGTTGCATATGTGGTAGGTATCCCACATGTAGCTATCTCCTATGGGAGAACGTTCTGGAGAACAGTGACTGGAAACCTGTCTTGTGCTGTTGGGAGGAGGAGGAAGCAACAGGCGAGAGAAGGGGCTAGCTGTATAAAAATGGAGTTAAGCTCCTGCAACCAGCCAGTTGGCAAAGTTGTGGCGAGGTGGCACTCACCTTTCACGATCAGCTCTGCATAGTTGGACACACCGGACCCACCATCTGAGCGGATTACACAGCGATACTTGGAGACGCTGCGTTGAGAGGTGTCTGCCACGCTGACTGTGGCCGAGAAGCGCCTGTGGTTGACCACGCGAGTGACCATGAGGGCCGTGTCTCTGCCATTCCATTGCTGAAGACACACAGGAAGAAAAGGAAGAAGAAATCATAGCACCAGGGCTTCCTAGAAACCTTCAACATAGACCCCAGGACCCTTGAATGCTCCAGGGGCCTAGGACTTCCTTGAAAGAGAATGACAAACTGCTTCCATCTAGTCTGAGCTATGGTTCTGACTCAAACCCCACCCACTGAATGCACTACCACAGGTCTGTCAATCCAGCACTCTAGAAGCTGAGGCAGGTGCTTCCAAGTTTGAGGCAAGTCTACATAATGAACCCTGTCTCAAAAAACAGGAAGGAAGGAAGAGAGGGAGGGCAAGAAAAAATGATTCAAGGGGAAGAGTGCTGCTTGGAAGGAAGTGGGACAAAAGCTTCTCCTAATTGCCTCAGCTCCTGGCTCAGCACACTTTTGGAGTTGGCTTTATTCCCTTAACCTTCCCGCTTCTTATTTTCCTTCAATCTCATAAGCAGAAACTGCAGTATTTCCCCAAAGACGGCCTTCGGCAGATTAACAAACAATTCAGCCCACATAGAGTATTAGTAATCTGCCTTGCTCTCAGATCCTCAGCTGCTGATCAATGTCTCAATGGCTTTGACTCCCATCGGCCCCAGGCTGTCACTGTAGATAATTTCCACCTCTCCTCTTTGCCATGCCCTCTTTCCTCTGCCCGGAATGTTCTACAACCCTGGGAATGGCCCCTTTCCCACTAATCAATGTTTAGCCTGACACTGCTTCTAGGAAGTTCCCTCATCAATCACGCCACCATCTGAAAGGCAGCTGTGCCTCTCTGTACTGTGCAAACCTTTCCCACATCCTGGCCCATGACTGTTCCCCACTTGAGACCATGAGTCCCCGAAAGACAAAAATCCCATTCATTTTCCTATGCCAACTCTACCAAGATTTGTAGGATCAGGGCAAATACACATAAGTGTTTGTCTTCAGCAACCTGAATTTTAGGTGTGATGTTTTGGGTTAAATAGATTCTTTCACAGTAGTGAGCTGTTGTAGCCAGGAAGGCATGCATGAGGATGCATTTTGAGTGGATATTTACTAAGCACCTAGTATGCAGCTGATCCCGAGCTGGGTGCTTTTGTGTAATCCTCCATTTTAATCTTCATAGCCTTGTTGAGGTGTGTGTTATTGCTGCTCTTCTCCGAAGAATCAAATGTCAGAGAGGTTAAATAAATATGTAGAGCAAACACATCCCTCATCCAGGCTTCCCCGCATCAGCTCAAACATTTTCCCCTAAGACTTTATCCCCATTGCCTGCTTTAATGTAATTTTTATCTCTCAAGTGAAACCGAGGGTTTTAATTGTCTGGTTGGATTTAGAGAAACCTGGCTATTTATGATTCCCAGGCCCCATGTCTTTCCAGATGAGATCTCTTTTGCTTCTCCCATGAAGTACATAATCTCTCCATGTGCAAAACCCATTTTTTTCATGTCAGTTTCCAATCTACCTCCCATCAGGGACATGTTAAGATGGGGATACAGGAATGGGTAGGGCAGCTGATGCGGTAGTACCAAGCCCACGAGGATAGGGCAGACCAAGAGACAGGAAGCAGAGTCACCAAAGCTCCCACTAGAGGAGAGACCTGCTTCAAATTAGTCGGAGGAGTCAAAGAGGACAATTTCCTTCACCACAATGTTTTAACATTCTTAGGACTTTCAACCTCAAACTGAATCACCACTGCATTCCCAAATACTAAAGAAAACGGCATTTCCCAAAATCAGGACAGCAAGAAAGGTAGCCACACCCTCCTCCCATGCCAGAAATGACCCAGCATGACCAAAATAAAGCCACATAAGAGAGCAGAAGTCGCTGGGACTACAGCCCCCAAAAAACCTGTGCATGCATTGGGGAATCCTTGCAAGAAATAATACAGCTTAGACCCAGGTACAAAAAGCTACCAGATACTAAAGAACACCCCACTTCACGATAGTGTGATAAGGAGGTTGAAAACATTCTGGAAAATAAAAGAATTGAACCCTGATTTGGAAAAGGTGCAGAATGTATAGGGGAGGGAACTTCAGAAGATACAGGGTCACCCAAAGCGTTCCATCTTCACCCTTTCTTAGCAAGGCAACGCAAGAACACTTTAATACATATATGAGTCAGTGATGGAGGATTAGTTAGATATTGTCGGACCCGATTTATTTATAAAGCTTTCCTTTCTTTCCCTCTCCCCTCCCCTCTCTTTCTTCCCATACACAATAGATTCATCAAAAACTGCTCACCTGTGGAGCCACTGTGAGCGACGAATGAGAAGGCACACAAAACACTCACCATTAAGGCATATTCTGGTGTTACAAGAGCTGGCAAATTAGCCATGAAATCAGCAAAGGAAAATTCGGTCAGTGCAATAATAGCTCCCTCCCAAAGATTCGCACAGCCTAATACCCAGAACCTGCGAGAATGCAAACATATACGTATAGAAACACATACATATATGTGTGTGTGTGTATATATATTATACACACACACCTGGGATCAATGTACCACAAAAGCTTTCAAGCTAAAGTGGGGGTGGGGAGCATGAGAGTCAGAAGAGGAGGTATGGGCAGAAGGGCAGGTTAGAGGGAGGCAGCTGCCCACTTGAATCTGAAGGAAGGAGTCAGGAGCTAACTGACTCACGGGTATTGTTTATAACAGGAAATTGGAGGTCACGGTATCATTTATTAGAGGGAAGGCATTCTCCCCAGGCACTTACAAGCAGGCCAACCTTTTGTCATTGTAAAACAACAACATCATCATCATCTACAAAGTTCTCAATAAAAAAAAAAAAAAACCACTACAATCAAGGCTAGAGAGATGACTCAGCACCGCCTGCTCTTCCAGGGGACCTGGCTTCAATTTCCAGCATTCATGCAGCAGATCATAATCATCTGTGACTCCAGTTAGAAGGCATCCAGTGCCCTCTTCTGGCCACCTTGGGCACTGCATGCACATGGTACACAGACATGAGGGCAAAAGACTCATACATATAAAATTAAAACAAATATTCTTTTGAAATTAACAAAAGGACATACAACCAAACATAAAAACAACTGCAGAAACTTCACGACTTTTACATTTACGATTTTGCGGTAGGCTGAACTCACTGCTATCCGTGGCCACGTGCAGTCTATATACTGGCTGGACACACCCTCAGGGAACACAGCCCACCAACACCTGAGCGCCATATGCAGGACTCACTGGAGCTCCTTTCTGACTGCTCATCTCAACAATGGCAGAGAAATAAATTTGTTCTGAGCCGTTAGGTTTGTAGAATTTATTTCACCCGCAATAAGAAACTAACACTAAGAGAAAGGGCTGGTTAAGTGCTCAGGCTGCACCGTGCGCATTTACATCTTATCTTGATGTTGCCTCCAGTATTATTTACTTATCTTCCTAATGATGTCAGATTCTGGCAGAACTGAAGAGGATTAAGTGCATTCCCCTGAACCGTTCACATTTTTTTTTTTCTGTTCAGCTCCTGAACTGAGAACCTTTCTCCCACTGAAGGATAGGAAATTGCAGGTTGTCTTGTGAAATCTCTGGAAAGCAGGCCCTTTTGATAATCATACTTGTCATATTGGGAACAGGTAACAGCAGGGCAGGGACAAGCAGGAGGGCCCCCGAGTCAAGGCAGAGAGAGTGCAGGGATGGACTGTGGGCAAGGAGAAATGGAGGTTAAATTCAGAAAGAGGAGCGCTGATGGGAACAGCCTGTGAGTGTGACTGGCTCAAAACAGGCAGGGAAGAGCGGGTGAGGGCTGGAGGTCAAGGCGGACAAGCAGGATGGAGGATTCCAGAGGAAGAAATCCAGAGTACTCCGAGAGCAGGACGTGCATGCTCAGACAGGAAGAGACCTGGGTGTTTGAATGCTATGACCATATGAAGGGATTCAAACGCAGTGAGTGGGTAAGAAGCACATGCCATAGCTACTGTTCCAGTCCCAGAGTAAGGCAGAACAGGAAATGCAAAGGAAAAATCAAGAGGGAACTTGGTTAAACAAGGAAAGGATTTGAAATCTAGATCCATGCGTTTAATTGACAAGGGGAACATCATAGTTTCTTTTTTTTTTTTTTGCTATAATGAAATACCCTGACATAAAGCGATTTAGAGGAGAAAAGGGGTTGTCATCTGGCTCATAATTCTGTATTAAATCCAGCCTATCAGGGAGTCCCAGGGAAGAAGCTTAAAGCGGCCGGTGACATCCACAGTCAAGCAGGGAGAAGCGAAAGCATACACGTTTATTACTGAACTAGCTTTGTCTATTCTTCTGCAGCCCAAGTATAAAATCAAGGAATGGTACCCCTAACTTTTCAATAGTGTCCTTGCTAAGCAATCCACACAATCCCCTACAGACATGCTGATGGGCCAGCATCTCAGATAACCCTTCACGGAGACCCTAGGTTGTGGCATGAACACTGTGCATACCACCATGCCGTGTAGTGATATCTCATTTGCATTTTAATACATAAAGCTTGTCTGAAGATCAGAGAGTAAAACTGCCTTACATCCCAGGCAGTGGTGGCACACACCTTTAATCCTAGTAGCCTGGCTACTTTGCCTGGCGGTAGTGGCGCACACCTTTAATCCCAGCCCTAGAGAGGATTATAAAATGGGAGGAGACAGCTCTCAGACACAGTTGCATTCTGAGGATTCCTGGAGGCAGAATCACCATTTCCAACTGAAGTAGAGATAAGAGTCAGTGGCTGGCTGTTTTATTTTTCTGACCTTCAGGTTGAACCCCAATATCTGACTCGGGGTTTTTATTCATTGTCCTACAATGCCATATTTGACTGTTCATGCTATAATTGATTGTTAGAACTTTTGTTTGAGTATGTGACTTGAGTTTTATTTTTTTAATTATTAAATAAAACAATTTCTAAAATGGCCCTAAACATACTCTCCCATTTTGTACTATGTATTTATATAGAGCAGAATTCTTATCATTGGCAATTATAAAATTAAATATTGATCAACTCTTAAAAGTGTTGAAGAAATCCTACAGTATCAAATATTTAGC